AATGTTTCTAAATTCAAAATCAGGGTTATTCAACAAAACTTCTCAGTGGGCCACAATTTCTGAAAGCCAACAGCTCGGGGGCCAGACATCCAGAGATTAAAATCTTTATGCAAATAAACCAAAGTTTACAATGATCTGTTACCTTTTAAATTTATTTTATTGCATAGAATCATATAAACAGAACCCAAACTCAGACCCCCCCCCTTTTATATATATATATATATATATATATATATATATATATATATTTATTTTTTTTTTTTTTTTTTTTTTTTTTTTTTAATTAAGTGGGCTTGATTGAAGTCACCCTTGGGCCAAAAGTGTCCCGCAGGCCACCAGTTGAATAGCCCTTCTCCAAACACTCTAAAAGAGCACAGCATGTCATGATCTCAGCTCTCTGCCTCTGGCTGCACTCTGCCATTTGCCAGCGCTCTTGGCCACGCCCACTTCCCGCTGCAGAGAGGAGATCATGACACTGCTGGAGGAAATTTCTCCTGCAGCTGTGGGCTGCACACAGGTGCAGCAGGTTCTAAATAATTTAAAATAACTTATTTTAAATTAAAATTCCATGCCTATCGTGCGGCTCAGCCATCAATCAGCCAGTTGTGTATCATGTCTGATCTTACTTTGAAAAATCACAAAGTAGCGAGTCCACGAAAAACAAACCGCGAAGTAGCGAGGGACTATTGTATTGCGATTATCAAGCATAAATGTTGTCTGCTTTGTTTTAGCGCTCATCTATTCTTACTGTGACAAAAAATATTTCAATTTGTTTAAAAGTATATGTTTGAAGCTACCCGGTTAAAAAAAATAAACCATTAGCTTTAGCTAAATTAGTTCAGGTGTTTTTCTTTTGATTTATGCAAATTTAAAGAATAACCGATTGATTTGTAGATTTAAATGAGTGGATTTATAATTTTATGTATTATTGGGTTAAAATGAACATTTCTACGGTAATTGAAAAGAGTTTTTGATAAATCAAGATGTGTATTGTGTTTTGCAATACAATTAAAAAGAAATACCGCACTACATTACCATATCGGCCAGATTAGATGTAGGTTTGGGGAGGTTTTCTAGACAGGATCCCTTTTTTAATGACAATGTGTTTTGTGTCATTAAAATATGGCGTAAAGTTGCCACGGGTTGGATCAAATAAATAACACTTTAATCCAGTTTATTGTGATATTTTAAAAAGTGTTTAACTTTTTGTTCAGGTCAGCTTGTTTTTATATCTTTTGCTGTTTTTTTTTTATTTTTTTTTTTATTCTTGCATGTTTGTACTTGGAGTATTTATCTTTTTTTAAATTATTTTTCTTTTACTTGTTTTGTGTTCAGTCCACTGAGCTCGGGGACAGGATTAGAGATGTTCTCACGACAAGAAATCATAACGTCAAAATGTAATTAGCAGTGCCTTCGAAATGAGGCTTAAAACTTTTGGGAAAAGGTTAGAGCTACAACTCAGCATGCCGAACATATTACATAAGCTCTAATAAGTGAGATTAATTTGCTTATTTACCAGAAGCATTTTAATTGGTGCATTACCGAGTGACCACTCGTTGCAGTCATGCTGTTTTATCAAAGCTGGGGAATGTTTCGAGTGGGATGGAAAGCAAATAAAGTCCATAAAAATTAGTATTTTCTGGCGTATGACAGGTTAAAGGATCGCAGAAAGGATGTAAACGGTTGGAAGCTTGTTTTGCTGAAACGTTGTAAACGTCGTCAAAAATTCAAATCAGGGTTGATGTTATTGTTTCTGTTTGTTCCTCACACAAAGTGTATGTCATCATATATCATAAAGAAGATTCATCACACTCGTGTCTGAGCTGGCTCACTTATGTTGCGTCCAATTATAACATATCTGTAAGGATTTTACTGTTTCCATTCAAATAACAAGTATTGTGGCCATAACACAAAACCACCGGTTTGTGTTCAATTCTAATTTTATAAGAATAAACACACACACAAAAAAAAAAAATACTGTCTCTGAAACTATCCTGTGTCTATTTCTTTTGTTTTTAATTTTATTCCAAGCTTAAAATGATTTATTCATTTTTCAATTTAATGACATTTTTATTGTTCTTTTGTGAGATGTGAAGTCTTGGTTGTCACTCCCGTTCAGTACCGGTGTTTTGGAGGTGTGTGTGTGTGTGGGGGGGGGGGATGTTTCCATGGCGACCTGACTTCTGGTTACATCACAGTTGCTTACCCACTGTGGCTGCATCATTAGAGAATGACAGATAAGAAAACAGGGGGTGACCATCAACGGAAAACGCCTTCTAGTTTTAATGTGGAAAGCCTTTTCATGCAATAAAAATTGGCAAGACCGCACAAGCTATTGCAAATTTTATTTACCGTGTTACCGTATTTTTCGGATTATAAGGCGCAATATAATTGAACGGGTCTGTTTTCATACATAAGGCACACCAGATTACAAGGCTCACTGTTGATTTTTGAGAAAAATTAAAGGATTTTAAGTGCGTCTTATAGTCCAAAAAATACGGTCATTTTGCTAGTAACGTTTGTGCTGTGCATTTTTATGCATCGAAGTTCTGGTTCTGTTCTGCAAATTCAAACATCTCTATTTGTCTCCTAAATAAAACAAAGTATATCGGTAAAGTGCATTTCCCAGAGTTAATTAAAGCTGACTAAAAAGTAATATGAGGCGAGATAATTGTGTTAAGAATGTTCCCATGATGGCATTTAAAACTAACGGGGTGTGAGTGGTGAGCAGGAAACTTCAGTCCAGATGAATTCATTTATTCGCCGTAGCCCATTTTCACCACAGACAAAAGTGAAATGATCAAACAGTTCCTCGTAAATTTGGGTCTTAAAGTTGCATTTATGACTTTGTGTCTCATAATTATGATGATTTAAAGTCAACGTTTTAAAATATGTCGGTATTTTGAGTTGCTAAATCATTATAATCACCCTGAAGCTCATAATTATACATACAACTTCTTGTTTCAGAGATGAGACATCGCTTCCATATTTGAATGCCTACAGGAATGATCACAGCCAAAGCACCTTTATATCGTACGGTAAAGCATTGTCAGGTCTTACGGAGTAAACCCTGTTTGTCTGTTAGCACAATATCCAGTGGCGATTTTAGCCTTTTTGTGGGGGGTGCTCAAGCGCCCCTAAATTTTAACTCCGCACCCCTGAAAAATTTAGAAACCATCATTAGGATTTCGTAAGGAAACTCAGTTCTCAAATCTTAGATTCACCAAAATATTTAATTTCAAATAAATATGGAATAAATTATGACACTTTTTTTTTTTTTTTTGCACGAGTCAAATCTTCAACACCACCTGTCAATCAGTCCAGTACGCTCGTCAGCAACTGACCAATCAGCGACCTCAATTTGTCCCCAAGGTAAACGCCCCTTACCTGCAGGAGCTCCACCCCCTTTTTCTCCTACAACATTGTCGGGGTTTTGCATTACAAACACTTTGCAGTCAGCGGTTAATGGTTAAATTAAAGGTTAGTGCTTAAAGCTAGTTGTGCTTTGTGTTGTGTGTAGATATATGTTGTAACTTCTGGTTGCACAAGTTTAGTCTTTGTTTGCTATGATCATTTAAAAGTCCTATTTGTGACTGAGTTCCTCATTTACGATCATACCACCCTGACCACCCCCGATCTCATCTCATCTTGGAAGCTATGGTTCAGGCCTGATTAGTACTTGGGTGGGAGACTGCCTGACTGTCAAGAATGCCCGCGATATTTGGACGATGTGCAATAGTTGTATAGAAACTTACATTTAGCCGGTTAATACTTTTGAAACTTAGCAGTTGATCTCTTTGTAATTGCTGTCCGTAAATGAATGAAAGAAAAACTGACGGAAAGCGTAAAATTGTCATGTTGAACTTACCGATTTGTCTCTGTCCTCGATGTCGATTAACTGATGGCGTCAGTATAAAATTATTTGAACGGTCATTACGCTAGCCGGTGCGGCCATTTGATTGGTGAGTTGAGCAAGATTGATCAGCAGTGTTCAATGACTGGTCGACATAGGGACTTTGGGGAGAGTGCACCTGGGAACACCAGGTGCCGTAAACTTTTCCACTTCTCACAAAGCACACCATGGGGTGTGTTGTTCAAGCCAAGAGCCATTGTCAGTACTGGGGGCTAAGCACCCCCTAAAGATCAGGTCCTAAAATCGCCCCTGAGAATATCTTATGGACCACTGGACGGATTTTAGTGAAGCTCTCACAAAGTAGCCATTAGATGTACATCCATCCATTTTCTTTGCTCTTTTTCCGTTCGGGGTCGCAGGAGATATGGTGCCCATCTCCAGCGGTCACTGGACAGGTCACAACGGGTTTACATTTTAACCCAATTACCATTCAAACCCAATTTCAAATGATCACCACTGCTAATTAGCTTTTACCAACACACAAATGGCTCTAAAATTCAGCCAGTTTTACAGACATGGAGCTAAAATCTAATGAGACAGGAGCTGAAAGTCAATCAGAACACACAACCTGAGCGCTGACTAGATTTTGTGTTGCGCACGTTTGTTGTTTTGGAGATTCAACTAAGATGGCTCTAACTCTGTCGCCTCTCATCTTAGTTTAAAGCTTTATGTATTCCTTCAAAGAATGCAAGACCTTTCATTATTATTTTGAGTGCTAATTACTATTTAGTGGGGAGTTTTAACATTAAAGTCATCAAACTGTCTTTCCTCGACTGTCCAAGCCCTGACGAGTGTAAAGTTTCTGGCCGAGCAACAAGTTCAGCGACCAGTCCTGAGCAGAGGGCGAAGTGGTGACCATGCTCTAAATTTAGTCTCCCTCCTTCCCTTTGCTTGTGAGCTAAATACCAATGACAACAGACAAGCTGACACCCACCCACTCTGTCACACATTCGGTCGGGTCAGGCTTCAGCCCCCTTTCTGCCCCACCCTCTCCAGTACCGGGGACCTCGCGCACCCACACAGACGCAGCCCGACCCTTCTGCCTCTCACCTTTCCAACTTTCCAGGCAGACGGGCACAACTTAAGGCAACCTCCCCCACCCCCAGCCGAGGGGCCTTCAGGACAGGTAAGCATCACTTAGGCCTCTCCCCAGGTGTGCTTCTAATGTCACAGTTGATCTTTGAGTCAGGCCTGGCTCTCAGTACCACCCGCAGTTTGTTTTAGCTGGATTTGATTATTTTTTTTACTTAAAGTAATGACTCTTCTTGTTTACCTCTTTTCTTTTTATTTCTCACGACGTGCTGATCATATCTGTTAGAAAAATCCATTAAGAATTAAAAAACATGCTTTATTCCCTCCTTTAAGTTCGCTGTAAGTCGTCATAAATCCCTCCTTTGTTATCACCTGCTATCGAAGCTGTGTGCGTTTGATGGTTGCCAAAACTGAATGACTTTGTCAAACACAGAAATGGCTACAACTCAGTCAGTCTTACAGATGCTGAGCCAAAGCATGGTGTGGTAGTAGCTGAGAGGCGTCCTGCACACGTCCTCTGAGCTCTAACAGATCACACGAGCGTCATATCCAGAACAGCTGTAACTCCATTGTGCGACGGATGTGAAGGACGTTTAATTTGATCAAGGAGCGCCAAGTATTTTGGGTTTAAATGATGTGCAGCTTGGTGTAAATTCTCCATCGGCTCACATGTTTGCTACAGCACCCTGTTCTCTGTCTGCGTCCTATCAGCTCGCTCGAGTAATTTCAAACATATCGATTCCCAGACCCCTGACACGGCTGGCTGCCACGTCTGTGAAGAGAATGTGCTTGGCGTTTAACAGCCCAAGGTTATTTAAAGAGATGTGCTAACTTTGCCCTTTTCACTGCCCCAATAAATTCTGTCTGCTTCAGTGGGTCTTTGAGCATGAGGTGGTTGCTTGATGTCGGCCCGATCAATAGCCAAAATGCACTCGGCTTGCTCTTGTTGCCTGTTATTCATCCCAACAGCTTGTACAGAGGTTCCTCAGGTGACTTTTCTTTGTTTGTTTGTCTCACAGCAATCTTCCAGAAGGCAGCCATGTCACAGTTCTCCACCATGACAACCAGGGAAAGGAAAATGCAGGCAGCAGCAATCTGCAGGGAATTTCACGGCCAGGAAGGTACCTGAAGGCAGCATCGCCTGTCATCGTTGTTGCTCTAGAGTTCGCCCATTTCCCTTTCAGCCCATTTCAGTATACAATATATATAATTAAACTATCAAAATTACATTTCCTGTGAAAATGCTTTGCAGAAGAACTTGCTGAAAAACAGCTGAAATTAGCTTAAAATATGCTGAAATGTAGCTGAAATGAAGAACTAGCCTAACATAGCTGAATATAGCAGAACACATATTTGCTGAATTAGTTTTAAATTAGCACAAAAATTAGGAAATTAGCTAAAAAGGCAAAACTAGCTAAAGAAGCTGAAAAGGCAGAAAGAAGCTTAAATTATCAGAATGAAGCGTAAAGAGATTAAATGTGTTTTAAAAGGTGGAATTAGCTAAAAAAGCTAAAATTAGTAGAAAACAGCTAAATAGTAGAAAAAGCTGAAACTTGCTGAAAGGAGCATAACAAGCTGAAATTAGCAAGCATAAAATTGTTGTAGTTGGCAGAAAGAATCTGAAATGAGCACTAACAGCTGAAAAATAGCTGAAATTGGCTTAAAACATGCTGAAATGTAGCTGAAATAGCCTCATGTAGCAAAAGAAAGCTGAAAGAACACAGATTTGCTGAATTAGTTTTAAATGAGCACAGAAATTAGGAAATAAGCTAAAAAGTCGAAAATTGGAAAAAATAACTAAAAAGTAGCTGAAAAGGCAGGAAGAAGCTTAAACTATCAGAATGAAGCGTAAAGAGCTTAAATGTGTTTTAAAAGGTGGAATTAGCTGAAAAGGCTAAAATTAGTATAAAACAGCTAAATAGTCTCTGAAATGGTAGAAAAAGCTGAAACTTGCAGAAATGAGCTGAAAGGAGCATAACAAGCTGAAATTAGCAGAAGCACAAAATTGTTGTAGTTAGCAGAAAGAATCTGAAATGAGCACTAACAGCTGGAAAAACAGCTGAAAGTAGCTGAGAATTTTTTTTAAATTTGCACAAGGAAGCTGAAAGAATGGGTAAATGAGGACACAGATTGTAGTGTAAAGCACTTTGAGTATCTTGACATAAGATGGAAAGGCGCTATACAAGTACAGACCATTTACCATGGAAGTTCTTGCAACTAGTCAATGTCTTACCTGCAGTTAATGACCATCATCCAGCTCTAACTGCAAAGAAGCAAGGAGACAAGACAACTAACCCCTGATCAGGATACATTTGAACAATTAATATCTTACCTGCTGTAGATAGCTGTTTGAACATGCTCCTTTATGCGAAACAGTTTAATTCTGATCAAACTGATGAGCTAAAGGCTAGTGAGAGCAAGGTTGAAACCAAAGGGGATTGCTGCCATCTCAAACAGTGTTATCAAAGATCAACTAAACTATGATACTGTATTTGAACTTACAACATTAAAAATAAAAAGAAACACTGTTTGGAATGCAATAATCTTTAATAGTCACTAAAAATATGTTTATAGTTTGTAAATAGAATAGAATATAATTCAACTTTATTGTCATTGCACATGTCACAGGTACAAAGCAACGAAATGCAGTTTGCATCTATCCAGAAGTGCTTAGCAAGAAAAATAAATTGGTAGATATATATATAGTACAATATACAGTAAGTTGCTTTGAATATGCTATAGGTATAAATATATACAGTTTGTGAGTGTACAGACTATGAACACGTTATAAATAAACAGGTTAGGCAATGAGAGTTCTTGAACCACCTCAGTTTGGAGAAATATAGATCATTTTTTAGCAAAATGACAAGCTAACGGCTAGTCAGAGAGGGACAAAGACCAGAAGTCCAAAATGAAAGTGTTTTAAGAGCCATCTTTATTGTTGTTAGCCCCCACTCAGATTAGCTATTAGCTTATCAATCAGGTCAAAATGTAACTATTTCTTCTAACTAAGCTATCTTCGACAAGTAAGATGTTAATTGTTCATAATCTTTTAATAGAACCCCACGTTAAAAAGCTCGATGAGTTTGATTTGATTTTAACATTAAAGGTGCACTGAATGAGGCTCATGCAACAGGTGCCCACCTTCTCCAGTTTATAGAAATACGCAAATAAATCTTTTTACAACCTAGGGGGAAAAAAATCTCTTTGTCGCCCTTTGAACGTGCTATTTCAGGGTGAGAACAACTGTGTAACTCAAAGTAGGCAGGGTCTGAAGGCGACTGACAGCTGAAAGACATTCTGGCAAATGATGCATCTCGTGACAGCTCTATGATCAGCATGCAGCATGAGGAGCAACCCACAAAACCAGCATCAGGCAGGAGCCGATGGATATTTCCTCATTTATCATGTTGGCAGAAATGCCCCATCAGCATTCCAATTAGAGGGATTTTTTAAAAAGTAGATGTATTTTTTTTATTTAGTGAGGTTTGATTGATTGGTGGGATTCTACCGATTGCACCCAGGTTAAGCCTTTGCTTCTTCTGTTCTTCAGATGTACAGATGGATCTTGGGAAGAAAGTGAGCGTGCCTAAAGACATCATGCTGGATGAGCTGTCTTTTGCCTCCAACCGAGGCTCCCGGCTCTTCAAGATGCGCCAGAGGCGCTCGGAAAAATATACGTTCGAGAGCATCCAGAATGAAACCAACAACAAGCTCAACGTAAGAAACTAGTCACCCAACATCGTTCAAATATGAAAACACTGGTTTGTGTAATAGCACCAGGAAAAAAGGCTTATACTCTTTATAAACGCGCTACTGTAATTAACATGTTATATAATGTTTCCATACACCCTTCAAATCCTTAAGCATAAAACTAACTGAACTACTCATTGAGTGCAGCATGCATGTCTACAAAAACAGTTCCCCTCTCTTTTCTTCACATTGCTTGAACAAAAGTCTGTGAGTAAACAGTTTTTAACATAAGCAGCTTAAGCTCTGATTCATTGAGCTTTACTTGAGAGATGGATTTGTTAGATTGGAGACACAATATGCTTCGTTGGTTTAACTCTTGTTTTGTGCCCAGCTTTATTTGAATGTAGATGTATTTTAAATAAATCTCCTAGTGATATGATATGATATGATATGATATATGATATGATATGATATGATATGATATGATATGATATGGTATGATATGGTATGATATGATACAAAGTGGCACAATACAATATGATACGATTTGATACAATATGATATGGCATTATATCAATATGATCGGATATGAGATGCCTCAGGTGGAGGAGTTTGAGTATCTGGGCATCTTGTTCATGAGTGATGGTAGGATGAAACAGGAGAAATACAAATTGAGGCCTTGTCCTCAATAATGAGTGTGTTGATTTGGTCATTTGGGGTGAAGAAAGAGTTGAGTAGAAAGCCAAAGCTCTCAATTTACTGTTCCGTCTACGTTCCAGTCCTCACCAATGGTCACTGAAGTTTGTATCATGATCGAAAGAATGAAATCCAAGATACAAGCAGACAAAATGAGCTTCCTTTGTAGGGGTGTCCAGGCTCAGCCTTAGAGATAGGTTGAGGAACTACGACATACGGGGGGAGCTCGGAGTAGAGCCGCTTCTCTTTCAGATTGAAAGGAGTCCACTGAGGTGACTCGGGCATCTGATAAGGACGCCTACTTTTGGAGATTTTCTGGTGAATGTCTCCTGGGGAAGACCCAGAACTCATTGGATGGTTTGTGTATCCTCTATTGCCTGGGAACACATCAGGGTTCTTCAAAAGGGCTCGGAGAGTGCTGCTGGAGAGAGGAGTGTCTGGGTTTCTCTCCTGGACCTGTTGCCTCCACAACCATATGAATAAGTGATAGAAGATGGAGAGAAATGAAATATGATGTGATTTGACACAATATTGTACAGTACGATACAATACAACACTTTACGGTATGATTGGGACTCATTGCTTTCTAATTGGCTGAATTCACAAATAATTAATATAATAATAATAATGTCATCACAATGTCAGCACTGTATGTTTCCATACAATGGCGAAATTAGTCTCTGCATTTAACCCATCCACCACCAGGTGGTGCAGTGGGCAG